TGTAAGAAAACAAAATCCTGATGTTGTCACAACACGCTGCTTTTTTCACAGGGAGGTGTTAGTGTCAAAAACTCTTGGAAATGAACTGAAAAAAGTTCTGGATGATACTACAAAAATGTTTAACTTCACTCAAGAATGTTCTTTAAGACCACTTCACTCAAGAATGTTTCAAAAACTGTGTGAAAACCTGGACAAAGGGCACGTAAGTCTCCTGTTACACACAAATATGGTGACTCAGCAGAGGAAGAGTTCTCAACATGGTTGAGCTGAAAGCAGAATTGCAAGAGTATTTTTGAGAAAATAGTATTCCACATTTTGGTGAGTGCTTTAAAGATGGAGAATGGTTGCAGAAACTAGCATACTTAGCAGACATCTTTCATCACATGAACCAGCTGAACAAGTCTGTGGAGAAAATGTTTTAACTTCAAGTGACAAGATTCTTGGATTTAAAAGAAAACGGAATGTTTGAAAAAATCATGTTGCAAAAGGAAATATTGAAATGTTTCCACTGCTCCTTGGGTTGAGAGTGAGGAAAGATACCAAAAAGTCTCAAATCTAATTGAAAACCGCCTGGAAGTACTGCAGAACAGACTTGATCAGTATTTTCCCTCCCATTCAACACAAACGTGTGACTGGGTGAGGGATCCTTTCTCTGCATCTTCTCAGCCTGAGAACTTCACTTTGAAGGAAGAGGAAGGACTTTGTGAGTTGCAGTCTGATTGTACACTCAAGATGAGATTCACTGATCTGCTCGTGGACAAGTTCTGGACTTCTGTGAAAGAAGAGTACCCTGCCATTCATAGGAAGGCATTGAACATTTTGCTGCGATTTTCAGCTTTACATGTATGAGCAAGCATTTTCTTATTTAACAAGCCTCAAAAACAAAGATAGAAATTGTCTTATTTCAGTTGAAGATGAAATCTGTGTGTGCTTATCTCAAGTTTGGCCCAGAATTGAGTATTTATGCAGCAAAAAACAAGCACAGGTTTCATATTAAAGAGGTACGTTTCATTCTTTATTTTTAGTTTAAGAACACTGTCAGTGTACATATATAGGCCTACACATGAAATGGATATAATAAATTTGTAACTTCTGGTCTATATTTGAGCCTCAATGTGCAAGGATTCCCCAAGGCCTGAAAAATATTTCAAGTTCCTTCAGGGTCAAAAGGTTGAGAAAGGCTGCTCTATATATTAAACAGATATATTTCAGTGTACCATAAGTGGTCCATAGTCTGCCCATCCTTTGAATATAGGAAGAACACATACAGTTCAACAGCATTTCTTTTAGCTGGCTGTGCAGTACTAAGAACTTAGCAGGAGAGCTTCCATTAAAGTAGAAAGGACATGGAACCTTGGTTGGATGGAGTTGGTTCCTCAGAAAGAGAAAGGTGAGAAATTTTAAGAAAAGACAATGTATAAATCACTACATGGATGTGGTGGAAACTAGAATGGTTTGCAAGGATAGATAGGTATGGAAAGGTATAGTGAAAGGTGGTGGTATAAAATGGATTTAGCTACATTTCCTTTTCCATTATTTCCTGCCTTTTATTTTCTTTGTCCATTACTTCTCACCACTTTTCTGTGCTTTGCATAATGTCGTTTATCCTTAAAGGGAATGGTGTGGTGGATATGTATAGACATTGAAGTTTTGGGGTATTTTCATCACAATATTTCCCTTTTGGTCCTCAGTATGAGTTATGAGAGACAGTCAAGTTTCCTAAGAAAAAAAGAAATGATATAGAGAAAATATGCTTGTTGCAAGTTATTAGAACCTGTCCTTCTGGCTTTCATTGAAATAAAAAAACACAGGGAACAGATAGCTCTTACAACTTTATAGCCATATGAGTTGTCCTTTATTCCCTTTTTGATTGTAGTGGGGAAGAATTGTTTCTTAGATGTTGCACTGATATTTTTTTCTCATCTCTTTTGAGACTGATTGTATTCTACCAAAAGGGAACTATAGTACCATAGTGTATATGTATTGCCACAATGAACTGCCTCAAGTAACAATGAATATAAGAGCACTCCCAAATGATGATTCTGAATCTTGTCTATAATAGAAACGTAACCCACTATATATTCCAAATCCTATCAATTATTATTTCAGTTTTGCTGAAATTTGGTTTCAGTGAAGGTCTACAAAGATGGTTACAGTTGTAAGTCTAGTAACTACTTGACAGAGACACCATATGGTAATGCATTTTAGGAAAAAAACCCATTAGTAACAGAGGAAGGCAAGGTGCCTTTGTTGAAATAGTATTATGTGTGTGTTCTGAAATATGTATCTAGCTGGGGCAGTAGCATTGCTTTATATCTCTTATCTGACTCTTTGAAAATATTAAAATGAGCAGCAAGTATAAAACGGTCTTGTATATTTTGCTGATATAGAGAAGGCAAACAGTCAAATCATATCTAACGCTTACTAAAAAAACATAATTGACTAATAAGCTGGTCAGAAAATGTCTTGTGCTTTAGGACTATCTTTTCTAAACTTGGATCAACCAGATTCTTCAGATTCCCGTTAATTCCCAGATAAGACGAACAAAAGGGGTCTACGTCAGTCTTGCCCTGTGATTAGGTACCACAAATATCAGTATTTGAGGCCCTGGAGATTAGAAAGAATGTAAGTACTGGGTATTATCAAAATAGGATATCATCAAGGTTAATAGCACAAACTTTATTATTGATCAGCAGCCTCTTGGTTAAGGTAGACAGTCTATGTAGATATGTTTCTAGGATGTAATAATTAGATTAGATTCTGTAATCTTGGAATATTCTGCAGGTATGTTGTAACTTGAGTTGTCAGCCAATTGATAATCTGGGAATTCTGTGGTTGTATTTATAGTATATCTGTTGGGCTGCAGGTTAGGGAGTGCTGAATTAGAACATAATCCTCTGTCCTGATGCATTCATTGTGAGAACTGCATGTTGTTTGGGGGTGAAACTTCAGGCTTGTTTTTTTTATTAAAATCCAAAATCTTTTAACTGGAGTCTAGCGCAAAATGCATATTAGCAATTAACATGCTTCTGCACACTCTGAACCTAGGGACCAGAACCAGACTTCTCAATTTCTTTCATATAAAAGTTCATCCCAAGCTTTATACATTTCAACATAATTTCAGTAGGTAAAGGCATTTTGTTGTTGCTATTGTTAAATAATTGGGCATTTTCAAGTGGCTGAAAACTTGCCAGCTGCCATTGTATCTGTGATTTACAATAGTCCTATGAAAGTGGATTGCACAGGCAAATTAGTATAAACTGGAGCAGCATGTACTTTTTCATCCCTCAGTAAAGCACTAACAGATCAGCTACAAACAAGCAGAGTCTGCTGACATCCATTTGCTAGAAAACAAAATGCTAAAGTGTGGTTATGCTACAAACTAGCAAACCCTAGGGAAGTAAAATTTATATTTTATATGCAAAAGATCTACAATATTTTTGGCAAAGAAATGAGCAATTTCTCACTTTTCAAGGATTGGGCTCATCACTGAATTATAGTATAGTATCACTGAGTTATAGTACTATTCCCCCGTCTTTCAGCAGAAAAGTATGCTGGTATGAATTTTGGTGTTCCCATTGCTGATCTCTAGCCTGCCTTTCTTGGCTCTGTTTCAAGTCACTGCAGCCTGCAAGGCAGTGGGTAACAAAGCACAACAGGCTTTATACACCTTGAAGATGTTTTTGGATGGTGTCACTTTAAGAGGGAAAAGAAAGTACAGCTAAGGAAGACATAAGCCCATTTTACTCATAGACTGGGGAGGAGATGAAGGCAAAGACGTGGGGGCATGCAGAAAAAAATGTTGGTGCCATCTGTTTCTGCTGTGATTAAATGCAAGTAGGGAAAAGCCCACAGAAAACCTGGATTTACCAGAACATTTTTCATATAGAATGTGTACATTTGCTGAACAGAAGCTCTCTTTAATGATTTGTGTTACAGCAGCAAGATAAGCCTTTCCTATAAAAGATAGAAATGGCCCCTCTATTTATGCTGAACCAGGACAGCATGTTAAATGTAGCATGTAGCTTGCTGATGTATTTATTACCCAGCTGTTTTGGATAGACCTACAATTGTTTAAATAATCCTGAGCCTAACCTCCAAAGATAGCATATTTGAGTGCCTCAGTATGAAAACTCAGTGTCTGTCTTGACCTGGAACATGTGACTGCTTCACTGTATGGTCTGGAAAGGGTAGATTTCAGATATTAAACTATATAATTGGCACATGGTTTTGTCCTTTTGTCCTTCTCAGTATAAGAAGTAACAAGAAATAACAGGCATCAATTTTTGCCTGACTAAAGTTTCAGTAATGTTATTTTACTAATTTTAAAAATACAATGTTTACTTAATATTTCTTAACTAATAATATGAATACCTGGATAGTTTAAATGTATCATGTGATCTGAACCAGAATAGGAAGATGATTTAGTAAACAGTTTAGAAACTTAATATTGGTGGGCAGTGTTCATTTGATCATTTATAATGGGTTTATTCCATTACCTTCACAATAAAGTTTCTTTAATTTATCATTTACCTTGTGCGTTCTACATTAAAGATTCAGTTTACAACCTAGGTTATTGCATTTTTCAGAAATGGATGTCAATATATGGACAAGAAGTTTTTTTTAAAAAAACTAAACAGTTGAGTTTCACATGGGCTGCTCTGTCATTACTGGAAGTGTTCTGATGAAATATTTACCATTTTGGAAGTATTCTGAGCTCAGATGTCCCCCCCCCCCCGCCCCGTCCGAGTGTCGAGGGCGGGTCGG